TAACAGTCACCTCTCATTCTACTAAATTCCAAACAGTACCGAGTTAACCTGCTCCACTTTTCCTCATTAGAAAGCCCCTCCATGTTCTGTATCAGCCTAGTGAACCTTTTCTGGATTGCCTCCTATGCCAGCGTATTCCCCCGTAGATAAGGGGCCTAAAACTGTTCACAGAATTCCAGCCCTCCACTGACTAATGCCTTGTATAGTTTTAGCAAAACATTGCTATATTTGCATTCCATTCCCTTTGAAACAAAAGCCAACTTTCCAATTGCCGACCTTATTACCCACTGAACTTGCATGCTAGCTTTTCCTAGCTTGAGGACTTCCAAATTCACCTTTGCTGCAGTTTTCTGTAGTCTTTCTGCATTTAAAACAGTATTCAAATCCTCTATTCTTCCTGCCAAGTGCACACCCTCACATTTTCCCATGCTCTATTCCATCTGCCAACTTTTTACCACCTGCTTAACCTGTCTGTTTCCCTCTGCAGACTCTTTGTGTCATCCTGTCCACTTGCTTTCCCACCATTTTTGGTTCATCCACAAACCTGCCAATGATGCATTCACTTTCCTCAAAGTTGTTCACATATATTGTGAATAATTATTGCTCCAATGCTGATCCCGCAAGGTTGCAGGTTGACATCCTGAAATGCCCCCACTTATCCTAACTGTCCTCTATTCGTTAGCCAGTTCTCAATCAAGCTCATATACTGCTTCCAATACTGTTGTTTGCTTAATAAGATAAGACCCCAAAGTGAGGTACCTTTTTAATAAATGCATTCCCAAAATCCTAATATATTACATCCACTGCTTCCCCTTTTACTGTCCTGCTTGTTACCTCCTCAAAGAATTCTAATAAATGTGTTAGGCACGATTTCCCCTCTAAAGCCATGCTGACTCCCCTTGATCATACGTATTCCTAAACGGTCTGCTATTACATCCTTTATAATAGACTCTAACGTTTTCCCAATAACAGGCATTAAGCTCTCAGTTATCTGTTACTTGTCTGTATCCCTTGAGCAAAAGTGTTATTTCACATTTACAAACCTCTGGGACTTCTCTGAAGCCTAAAGGTTCTTGGAAGATGACAACAGTTCACTGACTATCTCTGTGGCTCCTTCTTTTAAGTTACATCTGATCAGGTCCAAAGGACACATTGGTCTTTAGTCATAATAATTTCCTCAAGACTCCTTCTCTAATGATAGTCATTGTATTTATTTCCACTCTTTCTTTTGCCCCTCAATTATTTGGTAAATTTGGAATGCTATTAGTGTCTTCTACTGTGAAGACTGATGCAAAGTATTTGTTCACCTTCCCACATTAGTTCTGCAGAAGAAATTAAAGTGCAATCGGATGTAGTTTAATTGGAAGAATCTTTTCAAGGAATTGCCAAGCGCTCAATAACGGTTGCTTTTTTTTTTAAAAGGGCTTCCATCTATTTATTGTTTCACAGGACATGTGCATCACTGGCAAGGTTAGCATTTGTTGCCTATCTCTAATTGCCATTGAGAAGGTGATGGTGAACTGTTGCCTTGAAGGGCTGCAGACAATCAGGTGCAGATATTCCTGCAGGAAGAGAGTTCCAGGATTTTGATCCTGAGCCCATAAAGAAACCATGATATGGTTCCAAGTCACGGTAGTGTGAAATTCTGAGGGGAAATCATCAGTGGTGGTGTTCTATATGTCTACTGCACTTTGTGCTTCTGGACCCGTGCGAGGTTACAAGGTGCTGTTGAAGGAGCCTTGGTGAATTGCTGGACTGCATCTTGCGCATGGTACACGCCGTTGCTATTGTGTATTGGTGGTGAAGGGCATAAATGTTTTAAGATGGTCACTGGTCTGCCAATTAAACAGGCCATTTAACTGTTCTGGATAGTATTGGGCTTCTTGAGAGCTGTGGGGGCTGCATTCATTCGAGCTATGGGTGCATTGTACCTCCCGCTCCTGAGTATTGAGGTAATCACCACAACATTCCCAGCTGCTGACCCGCTTGTGTCCAAATGAGTGCAATATGAACAGGTTCAAGAGCTTGTCTTTTCTCTTTCTGTAATATCCAAAAATTAATTGTCTTTTGCTTAATGTTCATCCACCCACACAATGATTCACATTGATTCAGAGGTATAAAATCAAATAGTAGAAAAAAACCAAGCATGAGGCATAGTAACTGTATGGTAACTTGTAGCATATCGGTATGATGCAACTTTGTACCTCAATTTGAATTGTGCCTCACTTTTTTTATTTGTTGGTGTGTTGCAGTCACTCACGAAGGAAGCCCAACAGCAGGCTCTGTTGTATATCCAACTGGACAAACACATGGGAACTATATATCCAAGCCTTCACTTCCTCACTCACTTTATGCTCGGGTAAGAATAAATTAGACCAAAAAACTTTCTAATTTTTCTCGTGAATTTTTCAAGCATAATTCACTGAAACACAGCTAAATCTAAGTGTTTACCAAACAAAGTTCAGGAGTAAATTTGCATCAAAATTTTGACAAAATACAAAGACTTCATCTTATAAGTATTCATTGATGGGATGAAATTAACATTTAAAGGTGAGGAAATGGAGAGATTTTCTCCCAAATGGAATCGCAACCATTAAGTTGTTTATTGAGCTATGTATCTTGATTGTGTTAAATCAGTGTTGTATTCAGATTGTGGCACTGAGATGTGTGGGAGGTTAGGAGTTGGCGGGGAGTGGGGGTGGGAAAGCGAGAGCACTTTTTAATTTAAAATAAACATTACGAAGTCTGTGCAGTTTTACATAATCTGACCTCTAGTTTTGTTCACACTGAATGAGCTTGACTACCTTTTTTAATAAACCTGCATTATCAGTGTTTATTATCATTCCCTCTCCATTTTCCTTTATGTTGTGAAGTCAGGTTTAATTCTGTGATTCTCCTTTTGATTTTTGAGAGCAGTGGAGTTATAGTTGGGGCTGGTGTACATCAACACACCATTTGATCCTTGTGATATGGCTTGCTTGACCAGCTCCCAGGGCTTTTGCAAATGCACAACAGTCTGGGACTCCCATGGACTGAAGGTCAAGGCCTTGTAATGGGCCAGGCAGGAAGCCTCACCCATGATATGCTTGATAGTTCTCCTAAGGAGTTCATGATGCCCAAAGCCTTTGAAGAGAAGCCAGTGCCAGGCTGTAAACTAAATATTTTGCTTTGCTCTGCATCACTTCCGATTTAGCAAAATTTATTTATAATGGAGTGCTTTAAACTTGCATATAACCTGTAAGTTGTACATAGGATTAAACTGAAGTAAATTTTGATTTTTGTTTACTCATTTACACTGCATCCCGGTTTTTCATTAGCTTCATTATGTTACCACTTTAGTACGCTAAATGATCTGAATTGTCTGTTCTGCTCGCAACCATGTTTGTGCGATACTAGCTATAATGTTTTGGGACTGCTGACTTAGCCAAACTGGCTTCACATTCAGAATTAATGGGCTTGTGGGGGGATATGTGTTATGCAAAACACAAGGTTGTAAAATACAATCATGCCAAAAATAACTGAAAATGCTGAGCCTAGTTTTACTGTTGCAATTAAACAACCTTGAAAGCAGAAATCAAGAAACTTGAAACTATCCATGGGGAGGGAGGGAGAGAGAGAGAGAGAGAGGGAAAGAATAGTCTGCTACAGTTTGTTCTTCTTTCCTTCCTGTTGACCTATTACATAGATTTGGAATCATCCACCATCTAAAATGGGGTAGAATGGGTGAGGGGACATCGGTCACCAGCCAACCTCACTGGGTTCTTGGTAAGATGCTTTCAGCTATGTACAAGATTTGAAGTAATCCTGTATCATGGGGAATGGAGATGTTTAAGCCTATTTAAACAACACAGGTAAGAATTAGGGAGATATCTTGCTCATGGAGTAGAAGGAGCTGGGTACTAAGTTTAAAAAGCAGCACCTGGAGAGTAATAAAAACAAAGCCGCTGGAAAAGCCCAGCGGGTCTGGCAGCATCTGTGAAGGAAAAAACAGAGTTAACATTTCGGGTCCGGTGACCCTGCCTCAGAACAGTTCTGAGGAAGGGTCACCGGACCCGAAACATTTAACACTGTTTTTTCCTTCACAGATGCTGCCAGACCCGCTGGGCTTTTCCAGCAGCTTTGTTTTTGTTCTTGATTTACAGCATCCGCACTACTTTTTGTTTTTACCTGGGCGGTGGTAATTTGCCTGGGTTGCAAGAGGCCTGCTATAGAGTGTCAGAACAGGGAAGTACTGTTTAAAAATTTGATCGTATGACATGGCCTTCACTGACTGGGCCAGCATTCGTTGCCCGTCCCTAGTTGCCCTTGAGAAGGTGGCAGTAAACAAATGCAGTCCACTTGGTATAGCTAGACCCACAATGCTGTTCAGGAGGGAGTTTCAGGATTTTTGACCCAACGCCAAAGAAGGAACAGCAATATATGTCCAAGTCAGGTTGGTGAGTGGCTTGGAGGGGAACTCTGCAGGTATTGGTCTTCTGATATATCTGCTGCCTTTGTCCTTCTAGACACTAATGGTTTGAGGTTGGAAAGTGCTTGATAAGGACCCTTGGTGAGATAGTTATTCTTTAATTAGCAAAGGTTGCTGAGAAGTCTAATCAGCCACTAGAGTAGTCGGTTTGTGAGACCTTAGGGTTTTATTTAAGTTGGAACAATAGAAGTTCCCACAGAACTAGGATTTTTAATTTTAGCTTTCAGAAGTTGCTGGGATTTTGAAGCTGGGTGTGGAAGCTCTTGTTCCTTTCTCTGTTATAGCTGAAAGCTGGGGGTTCTCTTCCTGCTGCTAGAATTGTCTCTCAGGCAGTCTATTTTACTGCATTTGCCTTTGCAAAGGGTGTGTTTATAGGATGTTACTATATTGGAACAGTTGCTGTTTAGTAGTTAAATAATCTATTATTCTGTTAAGCTTTCCAACAAAGTTATTCCAATTTTTTTTTTTTTTTTGTTGTACTTTAACTATAGTGCATGAATAAAGTGTTTTGCTTCCAATTTCGTAGTTTGACCAATTGAATTGCATCCAGAATGCGACTCCTGGCATTTGCCTTTACAATAAGTAGCAGTTAGAGTCTAGGCTATCCTCTTAATATATTTTGAGGAGTTTTTGTCTGGTCCATAGCAGTACACACTGCCACTAGTGAGCGTCAGTGGTGGAGGGAATAAATGTTTGTGGATGTGATAACACTCAGGTGGGCTGCTTTTGTCTTGATAACATAAAGCTTCTTGAACGTTGTTGCTGTTGCACTCAACCAGACAGAGTATTCTGTCATACCCTTGACTTGTGCCCTGTAGTTCAACAGGTTTTGAGGAGTCAGGAGGTCAGTTCTTCGCTGCGGGATTCTGAGCACCTGACCTGCTGTTGTAGCCGTGGCATGTATATGTCTAATCCATTTTAGCTTCTTGTCAAGGGCAACCACCAAGATGCTAATGGGAGATTCAGCAGCCGTTGAATGTCATTGAGTTAACATGTGGGTAAGCAGCTTGAATGGAAAGAAGAGGTTCCTTTTCTTGGCACTCGGGCATCAGTACTGATGTCCAAGGTAAGCTTCATGAACCAGGCTTCATCAGAGACCAGTGCCCTGGAGGAAGGGGCACACCGGAAAATGGCAGAGGGATTGGACTAATAGAGTGGGAGGGGCAAGGAAGGGATCTGAAATGAATGAAAAATCTTTAAATATAAATGGAACAAAGAACATTGGACACACTAAACAAAAGGAGCACAAAAATAGCCAAGGATTAATTATTTATGGGCCAGAAGTATAAAACAAGATTTAAAAATCCATTGCAAGCAACAGCTATTAAAAAAAATTGAAATTATTAAGCAATAAGTTAATCCATTAGAACATCAATGCACACACTGTCTGTAATAAAACAGTGAATTGATTCACAATAAAAAGCAGAGGCACCAGGTAGAGGTAGAATTGCTGAGGCGTCGGTGTAAAAAAAAATCAAGAATTCAAAATTGCAGGATGTAACACCTTTAGAAAAGAGTGTGGGTAAAAGAGTATGTGTGTGGTGTTTGTTTTAGAGATAATATGATAACAGTAGGGAAAAAACATCATGCTACCAACAGTAAGATAGAAATAGAATCCATGTCAATAGAAATAAGAGATGGGCAAGGGTCAGTCATGGAAGTGAGGGCAGTTTCCAGGCCACTTAATGGAAACCATGAAGTGGAAGTGCCGGGGTTGGACTTGGGTGGACAAAGTCAGAAATCATACAACCCCAGGTTATAGTCCAACAAGTTTATTTGAAATCACAAGCTTTCAGAGTGCTGCTCCTTCGTCAAGTGAAGTGCACTCCAAAAGTTTGCAATCTCAAATAAACCTGTTGGACTATAACCTGGTGTCCTGTGACTTCTGACTTAATGGAAAAGAGGTGTAGGGAATAATTGCAAACAAAATAGGGAAATGAGTAACACAGAGACATAAAGTAATAATCACGGACTTTCAACAATCCCAAGAGTTAATTGACCAGAACAGGCAGGTAAAGGAGATAAAGGAATAGATTTCCTACACTATACTTTTTCCTATACGGGTGTAGGGCTCATTTGTAATCCCAGTGCATAAATCCTACAAGGTTGATTTCATTCTTGGCTTTGGTACTGGCGAATGATGCAGAGAAGATGAGAGGGGTAAAAATAGGAGACCATCTAGGCAAAAGTGATCATTGAAATAATAACAATAATAGAGAAGGGCGAGAGCTTGACAAAAGCAGGATAATATTTTGGAGGAAAGTTCATTTTTGTGGGACTGAGATAAGCTGAAACTTTAAACAAAATTGCTAACCAATGTTGGCAAACAACAATGCATTGTAGCAATGGAGAACGTTTAAAGGGTTATGGAGAGCAGGCAGGAAAGCAGGGTTCAGGCCCAGATGAGATCAGCTGTGATCGCACTAAATGGTGGAGCAGGTTCCAGGGGCTTAAATGCATATTCCTGCTCCAGTTTTTGTGTTCTTATGTAAAACCGTACAAATAAACATGAGGAAAAATATATTCCTCTTAACCAACAAGGAATATGGTGAGCAGCAATAAGACTCCTTGGATGAATAATGACCTTAAAAAAGAAACTTGAGTGCATGGGTAGCAGGAAAGAGCATGACCAGAGGATATGAAGAGACTAGGAGAGAAGCCAATTAAAACAATAGGGGAGCAAAGGAGGACTTAAAAAATATGTAGGAGCACAAGATAAAGTATTCTTCAGTCTCTCCCACTTACAAAATCATGCTGGAATGCTAATTGGACCATAAAGTCGGGATAAAATTACAACCAGTGATGTTGAAATGGCAGAAATATTTTCATTATTTTTCTCACATTTTCACCAGGGAGTTGGATCATGTGGACATGACATTAGAAATGGTATGTCTGTATTTTAAGTGAGAGAAATATTTGAACTGATCAAGCTCTGAGAACTAAATATTTTCTCATCAACCTGTTCAGATATGTTGTTACACACTTTTGGAGCAGGTGAGATTTGAACCAAGGTCTACCGCCTCACAGGTAGGGACACCACCACTGTACCACAACAGCCTGCCCAGAAAACCTAAGAACAACGTTCTCGGTCCAGGTGGTTTGCGCCTGACAAACCTATTTCTGTTTGAAAGAATTTCTACATGCCAGCCGTTGTAGCAACTTTGTCACCTTAAAACTAAAACTGCAAGAGGAAGTGTCCCCAATGTTAGACTAATTCTTTTGGCAAATAATGGGCTAATTTTGTCTTTCTGCTCTGTGCAGAAGCAACCAACTGTACAGCCAGTAGATCCAGAAACACAGGAGAACCCTTCAGATGACACTGATGACCCCTGGAGGATAACAGAGGAACAGCGAGAGTACTACTATAATCAGTTTAAAACACTGCAGCCTGATATGAAATCTCTCATTTCTGGTACAGTACTTTATTCAAAGCATAACTATCATACTGTGAATGAAATGGCTGCTCTGTCATGATATGGTTATCATCTCTTTGAATTTAAGTACTCTCTAAATCCAGTGAAAAGTAAAAAAATTGAACTGGTCACGTAACAGGTACTTTGTGTGGAGCTGGATGAACACAGCAGGCCAGGCAGCATCAGAGGAGCAGGAAAGCTGACATTCCGGGTCTGGACCCTTCGTCAGACCCGAAACGTCAGCTTTCCTGCTCCTCTGATGTTGCTTGGCCTGCTGTGTTCCTCCAGCTCCACACTGTGTTATCTCCAGACTCCAGCATCAGCAGGTCTTACTATCTCTGAGGTACTTTTTGTGTCCTTGCCAAAGTCGAACTTCACTGCGCCCACTCCCACCTGAGTCTGATGAACCATTGCAAAGTTTGCTATCCTTGATAACAGCCCTCCTCATAGAATGAAGATTTCATTCATTGCCATTTTCAAGACAGATTTCTGTCCTAACTCCAGTCCCTATGGTAACCGAATAGAGACTTCTCAAATACATTACACTGAGACTTGCAGCCGGCAGAAAGACAGGACTGGAACCTCATCACTTCCATGTGAGCAGAAACAAGAGACGCAGACTCCAGCCTCTGTAACAGTGCTGGCCTTTTCTTGTTGCGACTTGAAGAAAGTGACATGTTACTATTTATTTGTAAACTCTTCTGTCTGCTGTCCATTTAACTAATGAACAGTGTGATGTGTATCCTTGGAGTAAGGAGAAATGTTCCCTGGGTACAAAAGCTGTCATTGATCTCATTACTTCGTCCATTTGCCATCAAAAACTAACTCCTCTAAAATCAACAATATTGTTACAACAATCACCAATAACTGAAAACAGACACTTGGGGAGAAAAGGTTACAACTTGTTTGTGTAGCCAGATTGACTTTCTGGTCACCTCAGTGTATACCTTTTTTAAAATCAGGATTTACAGGTGTGTAAGAAGCAATGGGGTGGGGTGGGGGGCGGAGTGGTGTGCTGGGGGTGGAGAAAAATGAGACTTCACCATCATCCTTGCAACATCCCACCTGACAACTTTCTCTGGGGCAGTTCTCCCCTCTCTCGTCCCTGCATGTTACTTTATTCATGCATTTCATTGCAAACTAGGACCTTGCTTTTTGGTTTCAGTACTTCAGCGGTTGGAGTACATGGAATAGTGCATGTGATTTGTCAATTTGCACATTCAGCGAAATGTTCTCAGCAGCTAGTTTTTGGCACTCACAAACCACCTTCCTTCTGATGACTGGACTGTGTGCTTGCTGTCCTCCTGTTTCCATCTGTCCTGAGTGCTTTCAGGCAACAGTTGTACTCGTGTTGTTGTAAAACTTCCCAATGTAATTAATCATTCCTCTAACGGTTGCAGATCTCATTTCTTTCCAATTGGCTGAGAAATCGACACTCCCAAACTTCTGGTACCCCTGGATATAGGATTTCAGACCCCAGTTGACATCTCTGGCCATATCTATGTCTAGCAGCCCTCTCAAGCCCTTTCCTGAATTCAACAGGCACCCATTATCTTTCTCATCCATATGTCTTCCAGCTTTTACCTTGTGGTGGTACGTGCTGGTTTTCAAAATAGGCTTTAAAATGATCGATTACTGGCATGACGGGTTTATCTTATGACAAATTGTTTGGCAGTTGGGCCTCTATTGATTTGGTTTTCAGAAGAAAGAGAGGTGATCCTGCTGAATAGCAGATCCTGAGGGGACTAGGCAAATTAGGTCCAGAAATGATGTTTCCCTTTATGGGACATTCTAGGACTAGGGACTCAACGCTTTTTTTTTTTTAAAAAAAAGCGTTGCCCATTTAGTGTTTTTTTTGTTCTGAGGGGAATAAGTCTGTGGACCTTTTTTTTTTCTACAATGAGTGATGGAGGCAGGGTGATGGAATATCTTCAAGAGGTAGATGTATCTGTAACTGATGAGAGTTCAAGGGGTAGAGAGTGGGCAAAAAAAATTGAAATGAGGCAAAGTTAGATCAGCCATGATCCTATCAAATGGTGGAACAGGACTGCAATGTTGAATGGCTTACTATTGCTTCTAGTCCTTGTGCAATGATGAGAGGTAGTAATTATGGGGTTTTTTGTGCGCATGCATGAACGCTTGGTAAAGAGTTACAAACATGGAAGTCTGACATAAAAATTGCAGTGATGAAATGGAAGAGCTCAAGTCTGCAGTAACAATTCTTTTGTACTTTTCCACTCAAACACACTCTCCAACAAGTATTCAGAGTGCTCTCCCTGCCTGACGCCCTTGAGGATAAGGGCCTTTGTACTGTGTCCTAGAGCCTTAGGAATGAGGGGAATGGGGGAAAGGGTACCTTTTGCAAAGTTTAAATCACACCAGACCTTAGAATAGGGGTACTTGACCACCTTGGTTCTGTGCTCACTCTAGCTCCTATGTTAAAACAAAATTCGTGTGACAATTTATTTTCCCATATAAACTGGTTTATTACAATTGAACCTCTAAATTGTTTTGTTAATGACAAACTTAAATGGGATCAACACATTCATGGTTTGAAAATACAGCCTCACTGTCCACAAACCAGACAAAAAAAGCCTGGATTGAGAGAGCAGACTGGAAAACAGACTTCCTTGCACACAAGACTGAGTGGAAAGCACTAATTGGCTTTTTTGACAGCATTTGCATGGCCTTAGGCACGGCTGCCTTTCCCTTGTGACAGAGCATGAAGAGTTTTCAGGAGCTTCAATGTGACCAATTTTTAACAAATTCCCAACAGCCAAGTGCTTGATTACTCCAAGTGTCATGTCACCATTTGATGTGCTCCGATTGGGCAGTGTAACTGCCCATAATAGGGAAGGTCAGCCCCACTTGTTTTTCTGTTTCTGTTTATTCTTCCCACCAGGTTTGTTTTCTACTTAAGCACTTCAGTATCATTTCAATTTCAAGGCTTGTTTAATATCCCTGGAAGTAATTTGTTGGTGTGTTATTTTTAGTCCTACTTTCTGGGTGCCACAACAGGAGGGATGCTGTCCTTTTGGGTGCATTTACTCCTCCCAGTACCTGGAACAGTAGTCAGGAAGAGTGTGAATGAAGGAAAAAGGCATAGTCTTTACTGTGGGACTCTGCTCCAGGAGGCTTTCCTTTTGTGGATAAAAACTGAAGCTACATTGGCGTCACTGTTGGGGGTGAGGTGATGGCTTGGATCCCCCTAATTTCCCAGCAGGCTGTTAACAGTCAATGGTCTCAAGAGGGAGTCTGGAGTCACATGTAGTCCAGACCAGGTAAGGCTGGAAGTTTCCTTCTCTAAAGGACATTGCTGAACCAGGTAGGTTTTCGCAACATTTGACAATGGCATCGTGTGTCATGGTGGGATTTGAACCCAAGTCCCCAAAACATTACCTAGGTCTAAGGATTAACAGTCCAGCAATAATACCACGAGGCCATCACCTCCCTTTACCTGCTGTCTTTGGGTTCATGGCTACCCCTACCTTGTACTTGGGTGATGGAGGTATCTGGTGTTGCAGGTCCTTTGGAGATGGTCCTGAAGCTGAAAGAAGGAAAACTATTCTGGAGCAACTAACTTTCATAATTAGATGTAGATAAGATCCTTCCCGTAGGTGGGGAGACTATAGCTGGGGGACACAATTTAAAAATAAGACAGATGCCACTTAAGTTAGAAATGAGGAGAATTATTTTTTATTCAAAGTTATGAATCTTTGGAATTCTCTCCCAGATGTAGCTGTGGAAGCTGAGTTTTTCAGTACACTTACAAGAGAGATTGAGAGATTTCTGATTACCAGTGACACACAAAGTAATGGAGGTGAGTTGGATAAAAGGCATTAAAGTCTTCAATCAGCCATGGTCATATTGAATGATCATAGAATCCCTACAGTGTGGAAGCAGACCATTCGGCCATCAAGTCCAAACTGACCCTCCGAAGAGCATCCCAACCTGCCCCCATCCTATCCCTGTAACCCTGCATTTCCCGTGGCTAATCAACCTAGTCTACGCATCCCTGAACACTATGGGGAATTTAGTATGGCCCATCCACCTAACTTGCACATCTTTGGACTGTGGGAGGTATCCAGAGCACCTGGAGGAAACTCACGCAGACACTGGGAGAATTTGTAAACTCCACACAGTCGGCTGAGGCTGGAATTGAACCTGGGTCCCAGGCACTGTGAGGCAGCAGTGCTGACCACTGAAACACCATACTGCCTCATGATGTAGGCTAAATGGCCTATCCTGTTTCTATATTCCTATGTTAATGGATTGACAAAATATTTGCCACACTTTTTTTCAAATTCTCATAATTATCATCACAATCTAATCCAAATCTTGTTATAGGTTCCGTTGCTAAGGAGCTCTTTACAAAATCTAAGCTTCCTATCCGAGAGCTGTCTCATATATGGTAAGTTTGATGTTGTTTTGTTCTTTTTCTGCCTGACACATTGATAAAGATTACAACAAAATGTCACAGTGCAAAAGTACCCAAATGAGTGCTTTTTGTTATGGTGGGCTGAATCTGACAATTATTTGTTCTGAGGATCAGCATGATACAAGTTCCACATTGTGCCAAACTACTGTGAACTTAGCTTTGTTTCAGGCTGTTGTTGCATTTGGGCACTGAGATTGCCTCCTAAGCAATTTGTGTAACTACCAAGAGTAACTTAAATAGTGGCAAATTTATTGTGTAGTAACTTTCTGTCGAAGCTGCAGGTCTGCTGGCCTTTGTACAGTCAGGAAAATATGCATTGCACTTGGCCTGAGCTCTGCTAGTGAATTGACATCGCAGGTTATTTTTGGAAAACTGATTCTGATTCTGCCCAGGTTCACTCTAATTCCAGCAATATTATTAGTGTGATCCAAGCTGGTGTTGATTTCTGTATTCAAAGCCTTATTTTAGTTTTTAAATTTTGTGTCTGAGAGGCTTGGTTGAAATTTTTCCACAAGCCATTTCTCTAACTGTATGTTTTATAGTTGCCAACTCTCCTTGCCTCACAGAAATTGGACTGTACACTTTAGTTTTGTTTATAATGGCGCTAGAGTTTGCCCACGTCTATTTGTATTCATCTTCCCTATCAGCTATCATTGTGTCGCCCATTTGATTGAATACTTCAATCTGTTGTTCATCAATCTTGATGCAGAGATGAAGCAACAGTGGCAATTATATTTTCTGTCATTGCTCCGTCTAAAGGTTTTATGAATGATCGTGGCAACTTTAATTTTTTGATTTCCTTGACGACTGATACAATGCCCACAAGTGGGCAAATAGGCATCTATTTCCACCTATTATTCTTTCAATGATCTATGCTATCTCTAATCCATCACAACACAAACAGGCTTCCTGAAAAGCGCAATGACCCTGATTCATGTTAGACTAAAGTCACCATTGTCCCAGCAGCATATGGTCTGGTATGTCATTAGAGAGAGTGTGATGACTGGCGGTGGTGTTTTTAACCTGGTCACAATGCCTCAGCGAGGGGAGAGGTTGAGAAGTAGAGTCCTTCATAGTAAGCTCAGCTGGTGTGGGAATTAGAGCAACACTATTGGCATCATAGACCAGCCATTCAGCTAATTGAGCCAACTGACTCCCTCATGTAATTAGTTTGAATTAGCTTCAGGAATATGCCTGTCTGCTACTAAAAAGCAGCATAGTCCACAATATAAAATCAATAATGTCCTAAAGCTAAAGAATCCTACTAGTTTTAAAATAAATGATGCCTGTTATGAATCTATCGATGACCAAGCAATGAGCTGTTTGATAAATGAGGAATTTTGTTACCATCTGATCTGTGCCCAAGATTTCCTCCAGCCATAAAAGCAAATCCTATGGATGAATAGGTGTCAAGTTGGTGTGTAAGGAAAGAAATAACTGGCATTTCTATCGAAACTTTTTTGTAGTCTCAAAAAGTCTCAAAGCTCTTTACTAATGGTATTTTTAAAGTCTGGTCAATGTTATAATATAAAAATGTATTTGTCAATTTGCACTAAACAATGGTGATAATGGCCAGATAATCTACAGCAGTGTTGGTTAAGACCTAATGGTTCACTGTTGGCTGGGAAACTATGGGGCACACCATTGATATGTTTAATTAGTGCTGTGGAAATTTTTACATTGAATAAGACAGACAGGATGTCTACTTCACATTCCACACAAAAGACATCACATTTGACAGTGCAGCACTCCATCAGTACTGCACAGCGATTCTTAGCCCAGATATTCTGCTTAAGCAGCTGGAGTGGGACTCGGACACACAATTGGCTGACTGTGTGGTGACACTGTTACCTATGAAGTCACACACAACACATTTTTATGGCTGGTTGCACTTTGAGAAGAAAGTGCTTTTATCACTAATGGATTACAACAGTTGGTGTTGATATCTAGGAGGGCAGGGTGTGCTTGGTTGATGCTATAGCCATCTGAATCATTCCCAATCCATTCCACCTTCTCACCACCACATACAGTCACCCCAATATCTACTCTTCCACATTCATGACTTGTATCCACCCCATGATCCCACATACTCTTCATCCCAAACCATGCCACCACCTATCACCCTCCCATTACCTATCACCCTTCCATTCTCTTGCACCTACCATGACAACTCTCCTAATATCTACCACAGGCAGAATTTTAGACCCACACAGAGAGGAAATAAACCTAGAACTTCATTTAATAGAAATTTAATTTATGTTGCAAACTTCACTATATTAAAAAAAATCCTTTAACTACATAATAAAATGTTTGATTGAAGCTTTCAAGTGTACAACCTCTTATAACAACAAACATTGGAATTCATTAATAATCCCACTTCAAAAAGTCTATAACCATTTGAAGATGCCATTCTTACTGTAAAATGGCAGGCATCCTACTGTGATAATGAATGGTTGTGAAATAAGTCAAGCAGCAGTAATCCTGGAGTGGAAGCTTTCAGGCTTAAGTCAGTAGACAAAATGTAATAGCACATCGTGGTTTCATTTTAACACTCCAGTTTTTTCCCCTCAAATATTTAAAAGGAGAGAGTTTTAAAAGCCTTGACCGCTCTTTGACAGTTACTTTCGACAGTTCATCTCGACACTTCTGGGGCAGATCACTTTTTGAAAGGTTTGCTGATCATCCCACTCGGCATGATAGTTGATGTGTTTGTGCCTTTTTGCACACCCATGTCTACTTCTAACTTTTCCACAGAGCACCTTTGTCTCTCCAAAGGAGTACCCTAACTATCCAAACAAATGCACATGGATCAGACTTGCTTTTACCAGGTCTACTCTACACATTGTTGGGCTTCACAGTCCTTGGAAACTAAAATCTCACAGGAGCATAGGCAGCTGATGATTTAAATGGCTACCTGCTTCAGTATTCGGTGTATGTTTGAATCCTGACCAAACACCATTGTGTCCCTTTTCAAAATAGGAACTGCAGTGCTTGCTTTTAAGGCTTGCAATTTCTCCATTTTTGCCACAATGGAAGGGCTGTCTGTCGTCATGAAATTCCAGCATCAATTTACTAAGTTGTTTTAAAGTCAGATTACTTAAAAGCAAAAGCAAAATCAAATAAAATAGAATATCAAAGAAGATATGATATTCATAGAGATGTACAGCACAGATGTAACGAAACGTCTGCAGAACACAAACCAGCTCGGCGAGCCAACCAATCTCAACACCCACAACCCGAGCTACAAATCTACTCCAAAACCTTAGAGATGTACAGCACGGAAATAGACCCTTCAGTGCAATTCATTCATGCCGCCTGGATATCCTAAATAAATCTAGTCCCATTTGCCAGCATTTGGCCCATATCCCTCTAAACCCTTCCTGCTCATATACCCATCCAGACGCCTTTTTAAATGTTGTAATCGTACCAGCTTCCACCACTTCCTCTGGCAGCTAATTCCATACACACACCACACTTTGCATGAAAAAGCTCCCCCTTGGGTCCCTTTTTTAAAATCTTTCCCCTCTCACCTTAAACCCATACCCTCTAGTTTTGGACTTGGGGGAAAAGACCTTGACTATTCATCTTTCCCATGCCCCTCATGATTTTATAAACCTCTACAAGGTCATCCCTCGGCCTCTGCTCCAGGGAAAATAGTCCCAGTCTATTCAGCCCCTCCCTATAGCTCAAACCCTCCAACCCTGGCAACATCCTTGTTAATCTTTTCTGAATCCTTTCAAGTTTCACAACATCCTTCCTATAGCAGGGAGACCAGAGTTGTACACAGTATTCCAATAGTGGCCTAGCCAATGTCGTGAACAGTCGGAACATGACCTCCCAACTCCTATACGCAATGCGCTGACCAATAAAGGCAAACATACCAAACACCACCTTCACTATTCTATCTACCCATGACTCTGGTTTCAAGGAACCATGAACCTGCACTCCAAGGTCTCTGTTCAGCAACACTCCCCAGGACCTTACCATTAAATGTTATATGTCCTGCCCTGATTTGCCTTTCCAAAATGCAGCACCTCACATTTATCTAAATTAAACCCCATCTGCCATTCCTCAGCCCGTTGCCCCATCTGATCAAGGGCCCCTTGTACTCTGAGGTAACCTTCTTTGCTGTCCACTACACCTCCAATTTTGGTGTCATCTGCAAACTTACTAACCATACCTCCTATATTCACATCCAAATCATTTATACAAATGACAAAATGCAGTGGACCCAGCACCGAGCTTTGTGGCACACCACTGGTCACAGGCCTGCAGTCTAAAAAGCAACCCTCCACCACCACCGTCTGTCTTCTACCTTTTGAGCCAGTTCTGTATCCAAATGGCTAGTTCTCCCTGTATTCCATGTGATCTAAACTTGCTAACCAGTCTCATGAGGAACCTTATCAAAAGCCTTACTGAAGTCCAGATAGATCACGTCCGCCACTCTGCCTTCGTCAATCCTCTTCTTTACTTCTTCAAAAAAAGCTCAATCAAGTTCAAGAGACACGATTTCCTACACACAAAGCCAAGTCGACTATCCCTAATTGGTCCTTGCCTTTCCAAATACACACACATCCTGTCCCTCAGGATTCCATTCAACAAGTTGCCCACCACCAATGTCAGGCTCACCGATCTATAGTTCCCTGGCTTTTCCATACCATCTTTCTTAAACAGTGGCACCACGTTAACCAATCTCCAGTCTGCTGGCACCTTTCATCTGGCTATCGATGATACAAATATCTCAGCAAGGCGCCCAGCAATCACTTCCCTAACTTCCCACAGAGTTCTAGGGTACACCTGATCAGGTCCCGGGGATTTATCCACTGTTATAAGACGTCCAGCACCTCTTCCTCTGTAATATGGACATTATTCAAGATGTTGCTATTTATTTTCCCATATTCTGTATCTTACATATCCTTTCCATAGTAAACATTGATGCAAAATGTTCGCTTATTAATTCCCCATCTCCTGTGGCTCCACACACAGATGGCCTTGCTGATCATTAAGGGACCCTATTCTCTCTCTAGTTACCCTTTTGTCCTTAATGTATTTATAAAATCCCTTTGGATTCTCCTTAACCCTATTTGCCAAAGCTTTCTGTTGTACCCTTTTTGCCCTCCTGATATCACTCCTATTTAATCCTGTAGGAGTGCACTTATGAAACAATATACGTTCTCTATTCATTTTTACAACTTGTACAAGTTTTGTTACATTTGAGTTAAATTTACCCTTTTTAATAGTGCATGATTTTGAAAATTGAGATTATCTTGAATGTTTTTGAATATATATTACAATTATCAAGAAGGTCTATGAGGCTTGGCAGCAAATTTGAAGCCGATTCAGACTAAAAATGCAGAAGCAGCATAGCTGCAAAATTGACCAAAAGATAGAAAACTGAGTTTTTTTAAAAATTCTTGTTTACCAGACAAGAAACTGCTATAGAAGTAGCAAACCCCAAGCGTCAGTTCCAGCAGTTTCAACGTAATGAATGGCTAAATTTGGAATGCATCGCCAGCCATGTATACAGCTCAACTAGTAGCCTTTAAAAGGAAATAGTATAAATACTAGCTGAAGATTTTTAAAAAGCAGACATTTGCTGAAAAAGGGAGTGGAATGGGACTAACCTGAATGCACAGATTTGTGTGAATGGCCTTCTCTACTAGCCTATGGTCCTGTGACAAATATATTGCATCACAGTGGAACTGAAATAAAAGAACATTGTTTGTTGCTCAATGAGGGAACATTTTTATTTTGGTGTCTTTTTATGTTTTCAAAAATTATTTTAGTTTCTTGTTTTAATGTATTAAAATCTGGAACAGTTTTTCTTCAATGATTAGTATGCTGAAACAGTTGCAGTGGTTCTGCAGTGACCGTTTCAGGATTGAAAATTGCCTTGCCTTTGCAACAGGAATAAAGGTTTCCTTGTTTACCTTTTTTTCTTCTAGATACCATGCATTTTTCTATTGGAGATGAGCCCATGCCCACTTTTTTCCTGTTTAATCTGGGAGACCATCCTACTTGGCCAACTCTAAATCTTTATTCATATGTATTCTTGCCCCATGTCTCCCCATAATGTCTGACTATGACTGAACTACAGTTTCTGGGGAGGAATGTTTCCGATTTCCTTTTTTTCTGTAACGGGTCCTGTAAAACCATTGTACTACACATTATATTCCATAAAAACAATATTGAATTTTAAGGAACATGGTGCTGTTCAGAATAGTTGAAAAGAAAATAACTTTCTGGTTGAGTTTAATGTTGAAATCCTACTTGTGTCCTCGGAGGATTGCTGATACAAGTTGCGGCTTTAGATGCTAACAGCCCTTATGCCTGTAGGGAACTCTCTGATGTGGATTGTGATGGAGCTTTGACACTGTTCGAGTTCTGTGCCGCCTTTCATCTTGTCGTAGCTAGGAAGAATGGTTATTCATTGCCAGCCACGCTTCCAGAAACTCTGATGCCTGAATATCTACAGAGGAGTGAAGGTAAGCAGAATGTAAAGGATGATCTCGTGCTCACAGAAGGATTTACACTTGAAGGGGATACATGGCAGATTTCTAGGACTCTAACACTGCAGTCCTGATGTTTCAATCAACTTGCGTCAAATGGGGTCCTCATTAGGGAACGGAATCAATTAAATTTTAAAAATAGTGCAAAGTTAAATACATGTGCCTAGCATTATAATAGGATAAACTTTACTAAAGTATCCGCAGGCTGACTGAATAACTCTAAGCAATAAAAGCATGGAGTGTTTTTAAAAAAAGCATGGAGTAGCGGTTATTTCAAGTGAAATAGTTTTTGTTTTCCACATTTATAATACTGTGGGGAAGGTAAATATATTTCATAGATAACACAGTGTAGAGGTGGAGGACCACAGCAGGCCAGACAGCATCAGAGAAGCAGGAAAGTTGAGGTTTCTGTTTGGGACCCTTTTTTGTTTTCAGAAATTTTGTTATCCAAGAAAATCCATTGAAACCATTTGCTGGCGCCTTCTTGTCAGTGTAAAGTTAGTAGCTAAAACACTGGACATCAATATAGAGACAGCAGGGAGGGGTGTGTGCAACTATCATTTATTCCCATTAAAATTCCCAGAGCTGTGGGGCAGTGGGAGGAGGAACAGTTAGCCTTAGCGCTTCCGGGCTTGTGGTGGGAAGGAAAGCCAGGATTCGCACTCTTGATTTCCAGCATCTGATCTTCACTGAGGACAGTGTGCATTTTGGGTGGCTGTGATGTTAAAGCCATACCACTGAACACTGGAAATATTGTCACTCTGCTGAGTTTCATTACAGCTATTGAGCAAATGCACCATTTTGTGCCTTCAAGAAAAGTGAGGGAAGTGCAGCAATTGCTTTCACATTTACCTAACTTAACAATCCTACACCCCCATCCAACCTTCCCTCCTGACAGACGGCCTCACACTTGTGCACATTCACACTCTCTTTACCTCACAGATGATAAATTCGCTGTCTGAACTGCCTGCATAAATATTTTCTTTAAAAGACCATGTTAAACTTCAATTATGATTTATTTTTCTCGCTATCATTTTTTTCTCTCTTTCCTCCTTCTTACATTTCCACGTTTTATTTTCACTTGACTCCTCACAATTCCCATTTCTATTTTTTTTTATTCTGTTTCTATCCCTCTTTTTTGTATTTCATTCACAATCTGTCACCCACCAGTTCCTACTCAAGGCTCACAAATTATACTCCATTGAAGAAATAACAAGACTGACTGTATCAACTGATTTGTACACATGCAACAGGTCAATTCCTTCAAGGACGGAGAAAATTGGATGCACATAGCCCAATGCATATAGCAGCACAGTCTTAAAATCCCATTTGTTTCTCATTCACTGATTTTGTTAGTAGTAGTATTCTGGATCTAGCCTAAAGCGGTTGTACGTAAAGAAAAATCTTGCTTAAGTGTGAGCTCACAATTACTCTCTGACTCTTAGAGAAAGTGAGCTGGAAGTATAAAGAAAGTAAGAGTCTCTATTTAACATTGAAATGTAGAAAATAGAAGCAGGAGTAGGCCACAAGCCCTTCGAGCCTGCTTCATCATTCAATACAATCTTGGCTGATCATCCAACTCTGTTCCTGCTTTCACCCCATTTCCTTTGATCCCCTTAGATGTAAGAACTATATCTAACTCCTTCTTGAAAATATTCGATGTGTTGGCCTCTTTCACATTCTGCGCCATTGAATCTCACAGGCTCAATACTCTGGATGAAGAAATTTCTCCTCATCTCTGTCCTAAGTGGTCTATCTGGTATCCTTACCCCTGGTGACCCCTGGTTCTGGAGACCCCCGGTGATCAGGAACATACTTTGTATTTGCCTTGACCAGCCATGTTACAATTTTATTTGATGTGGAGGTACCAGTGTTGGACTACCAGTGTAGCCCCTTCACCTGTTCAAATAAACCTGTTGGACTATAACCTGATGTCATGTGACTTCTGAGAATTTTATGTTGCTATGACAACCTCCCCCAACCCTCTCGTTCTTCTAAACTCCCAATGAATGTAGTCCAAACTGATGCAGACTTTCTTCAGATGTCAGTCCTGCCATCCCTGCAATCAGTCTGGTAAATCTTTGTTCCATAGCCAGAACATCTTTCCACAGGTAAGGAGACTAAAACTGCACACATTACTCCAGGTGTGGTCTCACTAAGGCCCTGCACGATTGCCCCGAGACATTCCTGTTCTGGTACTCAAATCCACTTGCTACGAAGACCAACATACCATTTGCTTTCATCACCACCTGCTAGACTTGCATGCTTTCAGCAACTGGTGTAAGACAACACCCAGCTCTCATTGCACCTTCTCTTCTCCCAATCTACCGCCATGCAATTAATTTAAAAGGAAAAGTGTAACCGGAGTGAGTATTGTCCTCCATGATGTTCCCTCTTGTGAGGAAGACTACAACTAGCAGTTGCAGCTTAAAAATCCCTTTCCAAGGTTGTGATGAATTTTGTTTCTTGTCAGAGGGTCATTAGTATGTGGAATTCTTTTCTCCAGAAAGCAGTGGAGATGAGATAATTGAATTTACTCAAGGCAGAGTTTGATTTTCTTTTTGTTGAGGGTGTCAAGCAATACAGGAAAGTGGAATTGAGACCACATCATGTACGCTTTCCTGTAATCTCATTGTCAGGATTGGACAATGATATCCCAGACCTAAACAGGCTTTCCTCCCTGTAGAATTACTGGTGTTAGAGAACGGCTCAAAATCTTGAGATACAAATACCAGATCTCTGTCTCCTTTTTAATGCTAAAGTTTCTCATAGAGAAGGGCAAGGTTTGTTGGAATGTTTTCCTTCTTTTGTTCCTTGTTGTAGAATAGGTGTATGACATTCATGACAGTTTGTAATTTCTGTGTTTAATTTCTCCCACGCGCCCACCCAGTTTCTTCATTAAATTAGTTCAGTAGCAACATGTCAGAGACTCATTTTTGCCACACTGGAGTTAGTTCTTTTTTAATCATCGGGATAAGTTGGTCTGTTCAAGGGCCATGTAGTGCATAGTGTATTTTACATCAATTACGATGCGTGGAAAGCTATTATTGTTGATCCTTTGGGACTCTGCCTCTCAAATTGCACTGAATCAGTATTCAGGAGGTGTGCACAATTGAGTTTAAAAAAGTGTTTAACCAGATGGTCTAACTAGTGTCAAATGTAAGCTGCAGGGAAGCGATGGCCTGGTGGTATTATTGCTAAACCATTAATTCTGAAACTCAGCTACTGTTCTGGGGATCCATGTTCGAATCCTGTCAGGCCGGATGGTGGAATTTAAATTCAATTAAAAATGTGGAATGAAGACCATGAAACCATCCCTGATTGTTAGTGGGTGGGGGGGCAAGAATGTCTGACTCATTAATGTCCTTCTGGGAAGGAAATCTGCTATCCTCACCTGGTCTGGCCTTTGTGACTCCAGACCCACAGCAATGGGGTTGATTCTCATCTGCCTTCTGAAATCCATATCCATAGAATCTCTGCAGTGTGGAAACAGGCCATTTGACCCATTGAGTCCACACTGTCCCTCTGTAGAGCATCCCACCCAGATCCACTCCCTATCCTATAACCCTGCATTTACCATGGCCATTTCACCCAACCTGCATACCGTTGTGACAGTGATAAGAAACTGGAGCACCCGGAGGAAACCCTCGCAGACACGGGGAGAACGTGCAAACTCCACACAGACAGGTGCCCGAACCTGGGTCCCTGGCGCTGTGTGGCTGTGCTAACCACTGAGCTGCCCTTAATGGCTTATTAGAATTATCTTGAGTACAGTGAAAAGTTTACAAGTCACCACATATGGCGCTAACTTGGGTACAAAGGTACCGAGGCACAGATACATCAGTACAAATTCTTGGGCCAGAAAATGTAGAAAGAGAAAGAAATAAGAAGTCCAACATTACGCACCTTCGAAAGTACAAAACCATAGTAATACAGTAGAAAAAATAAAGAAATAAAAAGTTCAAAATAACAGTCCTTCCAAGATAGTGTAATTTAAAAAATACATTAAAAAAAGAGAATTAAAATGGAGTCCATCTCAGTCCATTGCACTTTTGTGGGCTCAAGGTCCTGATCTAAGCCACTCCATTCAAGGGCAGCCAGGGGTATGCAATAAATGCTGGCCAGCCAGCAATGCCCTCGTCCAATGCTAACCAAAAAAACGAAGGTTCCAAAAGCAGGGCAAGCTAGTTCAATATGTTTTATGGGATAAAAAGCGCAATTGAAGTATTTGTTTGACACAGTTAACCTTTTTTAGCCACTAATGTCAGGAAACAGGACATAGTTTACACCACTTCATGCATTGTATGAGAAAGGCCTGATACCTAGCTTAAAACTGCAGGAAATCAATATGCCACCTCAGCAACTTTTTAAAAAAAATCTGTGGCCATGTTGGACTGGATTTGTACTGTGATAACAAGGTGTAGAGCTGGATGAACACAGCAGGCCAAGCAGCATCAGAGGAGCAGGAAGGCTGACGTTTCGGGCCTAGACCCTCATC